CTCTCTCGGCCGAGCGAAGCAAGCCACCATCGCCATCGCATGCCTCAAACCACGCCAGACGCCAACCACACGCGACCACCACCCAATCCACCTCGCCCATAGCTCCGCCGTGAGCCACTCCACCTTCCCGAGCCGCTAGTCTGCGCCAATCGAGCCCAGGTGACCTGCTGGTCAACGAAGTTATCATCGATCAAACGCCAGTGTTTCGCTCCTGTGTCGCTGACGTGTGGGATCGTTGACTTGCGGGCCCCCGCTATCAGCCACCGTGGGTGTATAGACCAGGTGCATGTAGCTACAGCTACCGGGGTAAAATTTGATTTTCTTTATTTATTTTCACATATTTGAATGCAAACTTCAAAAAATTATATCTAGAGTTAGGAGTGTCCAAATGGGGTGATCCAAATTTTCTGGATTCATAATGAAGTGTAGTATTTGATAAAAATATGTAACCTACTGTTTGGGATATTTTTCTAGGATAATTAAATTAATATAGTAAAGTGCTTTTAAAATAGTTTCTATCTTTTAAAATGCATAACTTGAGCTAGAGAAGTGCAAAAATTGTGATTCCAATTTGGCTGGTCTTGTGTTGATATGCTCTAACTAGGAAAAATACTAAACCTATAATAGACATACTTGGAGTATGGTCTTCCTATTTAATCTTAAATAATTGCTAGTTTCTAGAGAAAATAATTAGGGTAAAATATATAACATATGATTATGCAAATTTTTACATAGTGTTCTTATGCTAGGATGATAGAAATAAAAATATAAAATCTATTGTTTGGCACTTTTTACTAGGTTAAACTATTTTTGCTAAAATAAGCCTATGCAACTAGTTATTTTTGTAGAGGTTGCTATACTTATCCAAATGGCATGAAATTTATATAGTAGACTACTGGGGTCATATGTAGGCTACTATAATTTTCTTAGGATTTATTACACACTAGAAATGTTTATCCTTTAAATCACCTTATTATATAAGGAAATTCATAAATGCACATAAGTAAATTATTTGGGCTTAACCATGATGTTTTCTGTGGTACTTGTGATGCATATGATCTGTTGATATTATTAATTGAGATTAGAAGTAATTGGTTATAGGCAGAATTTAATTATTGTTTTATAATTCAACTAAATGGTTGCATGAGTAGTTTCTGTTGTGTTGATAAATGCATGATGATAATGACCTCTTCTGTGAAACTTGTTAATAACAAAGTTGTAGATAACTTACTCATATTGCTTGTACTAAAATTTCATGGTCTAGACCTAATGGTTTAAGAGTTATGGCTGTTAGAAGTCTACTGTCAGATTTGCTTGTCCTCTGGATAGATCTGCAAGATTGAATTGTTTGACCTAAATAGCTACTTAATCACCTTAATATGATTAATGGAAAGTTGTAGACAATTTTATAACCTTTCTATAAAGTCCAAGATCATAGTGTTTGGATGTGTATAACTTTAGTTATGGTTAAAAATAAGTGGCTGCTATCTTGCAGCCCAGAAAATATTTAAATAGGTGTTTGTTTAATTACTAGAGAGGAGTTATGCACCTACTCAGTAAAAGAAGTTAATCTTGTTATCACCCTAATACCTTGCTGTTAAGAACACTCATGATTATGCAGTTCATTATATCATATCATCCATGTCATTACCTATGCATCCATGATATCTTATTCGTGCTCATGCATATAGGATCGTCCAAAGGAATAACCCTACTAGAATTCAAAGAAGAGGCGGAGGACAATCAAGGGACACCCCAAACTATAGCTCCCGAAGGAGAGGAGCCGCCACTAACGAACTTCTAGAGTGCCTCGACCACTGTAACCACCGCTCCTAAAAGGCAAGCCCGAGCATTGTAAGCCTCCTATATTTTTACAAATATCACTTGAGTCCTTTTGTTTGATGCATTAGGTTATAAGAGTTGGTTGGAAACACTTGATGCATAGAACTACCTTGTCTAGAAATATACCTTAAACCCTATGTAGGTCCAGGATCAAATATATGCTTAGCCATGCTTAGACCAATAGAAGTCGTGTGATTTCCTGTCATCTGTGAGATATAGGTGGATATCGGAGCACGGTTGTCTATATTTGCTATCATGGAAAATGACCATGGAGTTATTAAGTGGAGACCGGCAGAACTTATATGCAATGGTGTTGGTCCCAAACATCGTAGTAACTGGACTATGGAATTTGATGGTTATATTGGACATGGGAATGCTACACCGGCTAGGGTTATTATTGTGATGCTACATAATGATATATCACATGTTTAGCATTGGTTAGTGGTTAATCTAGAGGTGAATAGCTATAATTAACTTGATACCAAATTATAAAGTGTATAGTTGAACTAGTGGCTTTTATCCAAAATATTGTCAAGCTAGCTCCACTTATAAAGCCTTGCATGATCCTTGAGTCACATTATTTTTGGTTTATGACGGATAAGTCTAATGAAAGTGCATTCTTGTACTCGTGGATTTATTTCCCACTTATTGTAGATAATCTGAGCCTATCATGGATATTGTAAGAACTCCGCCTTTGTCCCATGATTGGATGAGGAGTAGGCCTTGGGCAAAGGCGTTTATATATATCTAATCTATGATGCTTTTATGGGATGTGATCATAGTCTGACAAGTATTTGAACAATGTTGTGAGATGTTGGTTTAAAAACTACTTTACTTTCGCTACTATTTTATTTGAATTTGGTTTGTAATAACTTTAATCACACTCTGATGTATGGCAATGTATTTGTGAACTCAATGTAACATGTGGCATGTATGTTGAATCATGTACGATCTCGTTGTATGTTGGCGATGAATCAAGACCCTTCATGGTACTCGACATACTACCAGGTTTATATGGGCTCGAGTATGATAGTGCGGCTGCTTACGGGCTGCCATTGTACTTGTACTCTTATAAATTGAACGGTTCTATCATAGTCCTCATCAAACATTTCTTTATCAAAATCATCATTCAAGGCACCGGGCTCACATGACCTATCAACTTATCTAACGACAACCGCCTGCAACTCTTCATCTTGGGTAAGGTTCTCTACGGGCTCCACATCCACATTATCATCCGCAACCACCACAATCTGCTAGACCCCTTCTCCACAACAACTTCCAAGCACCTAACATTGCTACTCTTGACAATCTCTATGTAGTTCTTCCATTCATCCTCACATGACAAACACATCAACACATAATGTGCTCATTCCTTCCCACATCAAATTTGTTTCTAAAACTTAGTGCCAACCAAATTTATCCCGCACTTGCTAACCAAAGCATCAAAGGGAGGAGGTCCACTAAAGAACTCAACATGTTCGTGCATTCTTTCGAACTCCCCGTTTCCTTTCACTTTGCCACCATGAAACATTCACACTAACCGATCCATCTACAAAATAATAACCAACACATCAACAAAGACATGAACTACGATTTTAGAAATAAATCATATCCATTCACTAATACACTACAATAACTTAAACTTCACAATGATGTCACCAAAGCCAACAAACATACCAATCTAAATCCACCATGCATCAACTACCTACGTCCATGCAACACGTAGCTTACGTCAAATCCACGGGCAGAGTATATCCTAAACCTAATCTACGCATCAAATACCAACAAGCAACGATAAAACACATTCACACCATCCTTAATTTCCTAACCCTAGTCATGGAACTAATGAGGCAAGAAATCAAGAAATCGAGGGGGAAAGATCAACCTGGTTGCTTATGTGACTCCACGGACCACGAGAGGTGAGGCGGCAAGGTGGTGAAGTTTAGCGCCCGATGGCGAGCCACCGGTGAGACCACCATGCATGCCGGCCGAGCCGCCCCGCCTCTCAGGTCGTCAGACATCAAGGCAAGACGAAGATAGAGGGAGTAGCAAAGAAGAGCTCAACAACTCCTGGGTGACCGGAGACAGCGAGGATGGCCGGAGGTGGCGGTGGCAATGGCGGTGGAGGCGCCCCCGACAACGACGGCGCCAGTGTCGTGCCCTCTTGTTCCCTAAGCGATTTAGGAACGGAGGAGAGGGAGGGAGAGAGGTGCACGGTTGGAGGGGCCAGGTGGCGTGGTGGCGTGGTACGCTGGGCTGCTCGTGGGGTGACGACGACGGCGGCGGGCGGCGCGGAAGTGACGGGTGAGTGGCGAGAGAGAGAGAGAGAAAAGAAATGGGCGGGCGGGCCAAAACCTAACTCTCCTGTCACACGGCTGACATTGCGCTTAGAGTCATTGGCGTGATGGCGGGACCCATCTACTGGCACGCCAAAGATCGGGTCAACGACGGGCGCCACCGTGGCTGGGATTGTGGTACTGGCGTGACCAAAAGGGTCACTTTTGCAATTACTTTTTTTGGGATTAACATTAAAATATTGATTAAAAAGGATTAAAAATTAAAAAAATTCCTAGAGGAAGGGGACTGCTGCTCCACTTTGTGGTAGTGGATGGTTCCGGTTCCTGTTCCCGTGTTCCGCACCCGCGTCGATTCCCCGCTGCTACCATCGCCGTCATGGTCGTCACTACCTCCCTCGCGACCTTGACGCCGTCCGAGCGGCGCCCCGCCCCGCCACGACACACCACCCACCCACCCATCCAGCCAGGCCAACTCGCGCGCGCTTCCGCAGCCACATGCCCGCCTCAAAAGATTTGTCGCGTCGTGTCGCGTCGCCGTCGTCGTCGAGCGGCGAGCCCGCGCTCCACCCGTCGAACAGCAACGGTCGGCCCTCCTCGACCGCAGGATGCGGCCCTGCTGGCGACCCCGATCGATCGGGCCCGGCGTGGTGCCGAGCTGGCCGCGGGAGAGGGGGACCGGTGGCCCTCGCGCGGCCGCGCAAACAGGTGGGAGGGGCGCGGGACGACCGTGAGTCGCTCACACGGGCCGGATTGCATTATCCGCTCGCTGCGCCTGCCCTGCTTCTCCCGCCATTCTTTCCGTCCCTTCTTGTTCTCTGCTTTCTTGGTCGCCTGCCCTGCTTTTTTCTGTGCTCTTGCCAGCAGCGGGTGCTTCGGGGCAGATGGTTGTTCTCCCGCACCTGTACCGCCGTTGATCGCGATAGTCTCCTAGCCTTCGGGGAAGGGAAGCGTCACCGGCGTCCGTCGTCCATGGCGGAGTCATCAAGGCAAGCGGCCGAGAAGGTGGAGAAGTGGATGGCGTTCCCGTCTGGCTCCGACGCCGCCGGCAGCGGCTTCGCGTTCCCGCAGCCACGGTCAGTGTCGGGCGGGGGCAAGGAGATCGTGGAGGAGGAGGCGTCGTCCTCCACGGTCGGCGCCGGCAGTGCCGGCAACAGGCAGGCCTCGTTCCAGCGCGGCCGCGACAGCGGCGTGGGCAGCACCAAGTCGTCGCGTGGGTCGGGGGACTCGCTGCCACGGGTGTCGCGGGAGCTCAAGGACGCCCTGTCCAGCCTGCAGCAGACGTTCGTGGTCTCCGACGCCACCCGCCCGGACTGCCCCATCATCTACGCCAGCGCCGGCTTCTACACCATGACCGGCTACGCCCCCAAGGAGGTCGTTGGCCGCAACTGCCGCTTCCTGCAGGGCCCCGACACGGACATGGGCGAGGTCGCCAAGATCCGGGACGCCGTCAAGACCGGCCGCAGCTTCTGCGGCCGCTTGCTCAACTACCGCAAGGACGGCACGCCCTTCTGGAACATGCTCACCGTCACCCCCATCCGCGACGACCACGGCAAGGTCATCAAGTTCATCGGGCACCCATACTCTGCTCTGCTCAGTTGGTAAAGTGCTCTGCTCTGCTCTGCTTTGTGGTTGATGAAACTGCTGTGACAGGATGCAAGTTGAGGTGAGCAAGTACACGGAGGGGCTCAGCGAAAGCGCATGCGGCCAAACGAGATGCCAGTCTCCCTCATCCACTACGACGGTGAGTCGACGATCCCTCTGCGTTCTCGGCTCCCTTATGCCCTGTCCTTGTCCTGCCAATCCGGCAAATTAACCTTGTTGCCGCTGATCATGTCTCTATTCTTTGACACCGTAGACCGGCAGAAGGAGACGGCGATGTCATCGATCACGGAGGTGGTGCAGACAGTGAAGCACCCGCGGGCTCGCTCCGAGGGTGAACAGGAGCCCGTGGAGCCTGCACCACTCACCACGGCGCCGCCGTTGGTGGCCCCTGCCACGCTGCTCTGGGACGTGAAGAAGGAGGACTCTGCGGCTGAGCCAGAAGTTGAGCCGCCGCCGCTCCTCCCTCATGGGGTCAGTCATCAGAAACTCGGACACCCAATGCATGCATGACTTCAAACAAGCTCAGACTCAGGGCTCCATGTGACTGACATGACACATAAGGATGGTTTCTCGGCAGGTTCAAGATGGGGAAGAGGAGCTCGGTAGGAAGCAGGAGGCCCTTCCAGCGCAGGTGGAGGCCCCGGCGCCACTGGAGTCAGCGACGGAGAAGGAGCGCAAGAACAGCTGGGAGCAAGAGGGAAGGGAGAGGGACATCAGGCAGGGGATCGATCTAGCCACCACGCTAGAGCGCATCGAGAAGAACTTCGTCATCACGGATCCCAGGCCCCTGACAACCCCATTGTAAGCACGGCATCCCGCCATAGCTGGTCGGTCAGCTTCTCGCAGTTACTCAGCGTAGAATGCTTGGGTTGTGCAGATCTTCGCGTCGGATAGCTTCTTGGAGCTGACGGAGTACACGCGGGAAGAGATCCTCGGGAGGAATTGCAGGTGAGCAGTACCCAACCTGTCACTAAGATAAACAATTTGGCAAATTTCTTTTCAAACTTGGCAATTTTGATTCATGGCCATAGCTTTGCTACCTGACACATCCATTTGGATAATTGGATTGGTGCCATTTGTACTATTTACCTATTTTAAAGTATGTCATTGTAGTTTTTCTCTGCCCAACACATGTCATGCTATAGGTTTTGGATGTTGTTGGGCCCATATGCAAAACACGTTATTCTTGTATGCCCTAAAATACTCCTCTTCCCTCTTATGTTTGTGTGTCACTAACATGAGGACCCCGCAAGCCATCTCCTTCCTCTTTCCCTTCATCATCACGTGACAGTGAAAGGTAGCCCTTGTCCAATACCCCTCTTCCCTCTTATGTTTGTGTGTCACTAACATGAGGACCCCGCAAGCCATCTCCTTCCTCTTTCCCTTCATCATCACGTGACAGTGAAAGGTAGCCCTTGTCCATGCTATAGGCTTACAAGACACCTTATTCTCGTATGACCCTACAAGTCATCTCCTTCCTCCTTCCCATCTTCTTCGTGTGACAGGAGGCAGCCATTGTCCATGCTATAGCCTTTGGATGGTGTTGGGCACCGTATTGTCCTATGACCGCCGCTCTACCCTCTTATGTCTGTGTCACTGGTGTAGGGACCCCACAAGTCATCTCCTTCCTCCTTCCCTCTTCTTTGCGTGACAGTCCTCTGACTCCTCTGATGTTGATGAGCGCAAGAAACCTTGTCATCGGTGGTGGCCGTGGGTTGTGCTGGTGTACACTGCAAGTCTGCAACGAGAGTGATCTTCTCCGGCGCCCATCTGGTTTCTCTGCTCCTGTCCCGCGTTTCCGACATCCGACCACGGGAGCGACATGGAGCGGCTCATCGCCTGCGCCTCGCGGACCTGGCTGCTCCTGACCAGATAGCCAGCATCACCGGCGTGGTCAACTCGGGCCCCACCGACGCCGCGGAGCAGGCCCTGTCGGACGCGGCCGTTCCAAGCACGTTCCCATGGGTGCGGAGCAGGCTGCTGGAGTGGGCAGAGGAGGACGAAGAGCCGTGGGAAGGAGACGGCTGGCCAGAGGCAGGACGACGATCTCCATGGCCGGATGGCTCAGAGCTTTCGAGAGGCAAGAGACTGTGCGGTGAGACGATTTCACGTATATCAGATAAGAATTCAAATACTTTATGCGGATGACGAAAACAAATACAATCTCATCAATATCTACCTGACATCGGATATTTTATTCGGATACATTTTTCAAATAATATCCAAAAAAATATCTGAATTTTTAAATTTATATTGAATTAAATTTTAAAATTTAAAAGTGTTAATATGATGTGTTGCTTTTACTCAATATCCGAAGAAATATTCGTAACTGACACTATCCGCATCTTACTCAACCCATACTCGATATATATTTATTCGTATTCATACTCGAGACAACCCGTATGGTCCGATAGTTATCGTGTCTGAATCCGAATCCGAAAAAAAATATGAAAACAAATATGATATCAACAGTATATGTTCGTATCCGCCTAGTGGTGAGGACAAGTCAGGCGAGTGGGCCCATGACAGTGTTAGGTGGGACCTGCACCTCAGTGAGAGGAGACTGAAAGGAGTAGAGGGGCATTTTTGTCCATATGAACATACGGTAGCTCAAGAGTGAAATATTTGTCCAAATTGTAGTATAAGGCCGAAACCAACTCATTCCCTGACAGAGATTTTTGTAAGACAACCTTGCTGAATATTGGCCATTTGAAGATAGCCTGATATGACAATCTGCGACCACAGGCTGCAGGATCACATCTTTGACCTAAGCCCATAGAGATAGAAATTCTGAGATGACTCCCACAATTAGAACACCTTGGATATCAGAGACCCACAAATTATTTGAGAGGGCCTCGTGTACAGTCCTCCTACTAGCTCTTAGTGATTTTTCTTTTCTTTAAATGCATAATTGGTTCTCCTGTTTTTGCTTTGAATGGGTTGTGGTATGTAGGTGACCTAGTCTAATCTTATTGGTGTTTGTAGATTTCTCCAAGGGCCAGAGACCGACATGTCCACAGTCGATAAGATCCGGGAGGCTATCCGGGAACAGACTGAAATCACTGTCCAGCTAATCAACTACACCAAGAGTGGTAAATTTTGCATTTCCTAACTGAAAACATTAGAAAGCATGGGCAATTGACATTTTAATACCACAGAGTTTAGTCAATATATGTATGATTGATGTGGGAGCTATACTGATATTTTTCTACGGTTGTCGTTCATTGACCAGGGAAGAAGTTCTGGAACTTGTTCCACCTGCAGCCAATGCGAGACCAGAAGGTACTCACTGCCTGTAGCTCTTCTCAACTTGCTTTGCACTTGTTCACGTGGTGCTGTGCATACTCATTCTATTATATTGGGTGTGTAGGGAGAGCTTCAGTACTTCATTGGTGTTCAGTTGGATGGAAGCGACCATGTTGAACCCCTTAGGAATCGTCTCTCTGAGAACGCTGAACTACAAAGTGCTAAATTGGTAGCTCAATTTATTCTTACTAATTTTCATTTTGATGGTTTAAACTAGATCTATAACTGGTACACAATAAGTCAACTTTAGAAAGTAAAATAAAATGAGGACTCGGTTATTTGGTTTCTATTCTTGTTGTTATGGTCCACAGTGATGAATTAACTTTCAACCTTCTTTTGTGTGAGTAACACTTATAAAAGAAACCTATGGACTTGGAAATTAACAAGCAACATGGGTATGTCATGACAAAATATGTATAGCTACTCCCTCCATTCCAAATTGTTAGTGGTTTTAGGTTTGTTCTAAGTCAAAATTCTCTAGCTTTGACCAAATTTATAGAAAAATCTACAAACATCTTCAACATAAAACTAGATTCATTAAATAGACCATGAGATATATTTTGATAATGTAATTATTTTATATTGTAGATGTTAATATATTCTTTATAAACTTGGTCAAAGTTAGACAAGCTTAACTTAGGACAAAACTGAAATGACTAACAATTTGGAATGGAGTGAGTACTTGATATATAGGACTATAACATTATGTGAATGTATTGTTGCTTTCAAATTTGAAGTACACTAACTATTTATATGATAAAATTTAAATAGGTCAAAGCTACGGCAGAGAATGTGGATGAAGCAGTCAGAGAGCTTCCTGATCCCAACCTGGTAAGGTACATCTAATTTTTGTTTCACTATTTTTCAAAAGCATTTGCTAATTATTCTTCTTAATTCAAATATGCACACCCCTCTTGCATGTTCAGGGAAAAAAAGGATATGCTAACAAGAGATCACTAACTATTCTTAAACTTCTATAAATGTTATTATAAATATTTGGTATATTTCTATTGTGGAGGTCAATTTAATGCTCTATATGGAAACACAAGTTTTTATAACAAATAGACAACACCTACTATGATATGGGGGCAACCTCAGAAGAAAAGGATTAAAGTAATGGACACTCAATTAAACTATTCTCATGGTTTACCGCATATTATGAGCTTTGCATTACGAAACAGAAAACCATAGCTGTAATGTCGATACTTTGAATTAAAATGAATATTTAAGAGTAGTTTGTTTAGCCAATTCTTTGTCATATGTTGTGTTGTAGCTAATATGTGTATTTACAGAGACTAGAGGACCTATGGGACATTTACTCAAAATATGTTTCCCCAAAGCCTCATAAACGTTACAACTCTTCTTGGATTGTGATAGAAAAGGTATGCTATATGAATGTTCCTTACAAGATTACAAGATTATGATGTAAGTAGCACTACACAAAAAGTAGTTATTTAAGCTTATTACTACTGCATATATAGACAAAGAGTTGGAAGCAAAGTAATTTACTATTTATTCCATTGAAGAAAGGCAAAAGCAGGATGACAATGCATTTGCCATATATGTTTATAATAGTTTAGTTCATTCTTTCTCAAATTCTAATTTCTACCATTACTAAGCCTGAATAGTATGTTTACTACTCCTCCTGTTTTAAATTATAAGACGTTTTGGCTTTTTGAGATACATTACTTTCACTATGTATCTAGACATAGTGTATATCTAAATGCATATAAAAAAACTTGTATCTAGAAAAGCCAAAATGTCTTATAATTTGGAATGGAGTATGTCGTGCAACGATCTTTGCTTTTGCATATAGTTTTATTTCATACCAATTTAATTATGAACTTGCAATAACTTATATATTAAGATAACACTAAAAAATATTCTATGAGCAAAATGCTCAAGTTTTTTATTTTCATTTTGATTTTTATCGGATTGATTTATATGATCCATTATGTGGTCATACTTTAAGTATGCTTGAATATCAAATGGATTTTTTTATTTCAGTTCCATAGTAGTATAATGACTTTTTTGTATTTGTACTTCAGATTACAAAATCTGGGGAGAAGATTGGCTTGAAGCACTTCAAGCCTATAAAACCTTTGGGTTGTGGTGATACTGGCAGGTAAGGAGATCAACCTAACCTTTTGAAATTGAAACATACATAACTAACCATTTTAGGTATGTGCTACTACTTTTGAATGTCTCTGCTAGCAAGAAAATAAATATTTCATTAAATCAACCCAAACAAAAATGGTAGATGTCTATCCACTTCTGTATATGATACTGCAAGTGTATTTGATGAGCCCTTCCATGCCCTCAGGATATTTATTCCAGAGGAGATGTGAGGAAAATATTGAGAGGAATGAGTGGGTTTAGGGTTATTGATACATGGTAATCAAATGAAGGTAAGATTTTTATTGCTATAGAACACAAGTGTTATGATTGTGGATGTTGGACTTGTCTAGAAGATGTGGTACTCAAGATTTTATAGTTTGTGCGAGGTCTTTTATGGTTGAAGGTAATTTGGTTGGTTGGTTTGGCGTTGAATAATAATTCAACGACTGGACATTGAATAGTATATATATGCAAAATGTATACGTGCTCAAGCCAACCCAACCCAATCAAAACCAACTAACATGGTCCACCAACCAACTAAACAATTGAGCTCAACTTTGACCATCCCAACTAAATGCAACTGTCTTAGTTGGTCACAACTTCGTGGATCGAGTTGGTTGCGACTAGTTGCAACTAGATCAATTGGTCATGAGCCCCGTCATCATCCAACCAGGTTCACAATTGCGTATGATTTCAATCTGGTTGATTGGTCACTACATGTGACTGGGCTTGGATGCAACTTCGCTTGTATGGTTGCAACTATATTAGTTGGTCACGACTCCCACCATTCCGCCTGGTTGTAACTCAGTTGCCAATGGTTGTAGGCCTAGTTGATCATGACTCTTGACTGGGTCTAACTGAGTCAAGCCTAGTTGGATCTTGTAGCAACTTGCTCAGCTAGTCATACCATCTCAATTGGTTAGAACTCAGTTGTGATTGGTTGCAACTGGCTCAGTTGGTCATGACTTGTGACTTTGTGACTTGGCCTGGTTACAACCTAATTGTGACTGGTTGCAACTGTCTGAAGGTGCGGAGGGACAATAGGTGTGGGTAGTGTGGTCCACGTGGAGGCGTGCAATTGGTAGACGCAGATGGCGCTGTTTAGGGTGAGCACATTTTAGCAGTTTAGCCATCATCTCTATTCGTATGCATGTTAGTGTGGCTGGTAGTCAGCATTGGGTTCCTATGGGAATTGGGGTTTGAGATAGACATGAGGATTAAGCGTGGGCAAGGGCTGCACGTGAGCTGATGCGCCTATGTGCAATTGAGGGGTTGAGGAATATCTTAGTTGATCGATTGGTGAATGGCAGATCGGATGGACTTGAGGAAGCCTTAGTGGAGTTTGGTGGGAGGCGGACGGTATGCTGTGTTTTTTGATAAGTGAATGACAAGAACATGTCGAAAATAAAGTGCAACTAACATATACACATGTGTACTGAGTATATACATAATGTTTCGGCAAAATTGTTGGGTATATTCCTGGGAATACACAGGCATCCATACTAGATCTGACCTGTCCTTGGATTTCTTTGTTACCATGTCGTTGCTTAATATGATACTATGTCTATGTTTTTCTCCCTAGTGTACATTTGGTGGAGTTGCAAGGCAGTGGTGAATTATTTGCAATGAAGGCAATGGACAAATCAGTGATGTTGAACCGCAACAAGGTAAATTCTAGAAATAAATGTTAATAACATGCAGTGTTGTATCTTTTTATAGACACTTCATGCTATCAAACTCCTAGTCACACTGGTACGGATAGGTACAAGCAGTTGGAGTTTTTTTTGGGTAAGTGGTAAAATTAGTAGTTGAATCTTGAATGATTAGTTTTGTATCCGTATGGTTGTGTGGGTGTGCATTCGTGCCACTCCTAGAAGGGAGTGTCAGTGGCTTAAATTTTGAAAATGAAGAATGAAAGGGCAACATGGCATCACAAATCTTCCAGGAGTGAAAACATTGATTAATTTTAGGATGTTTAGTATTTATCAATTGATTCAGACATATGCTATAAACAGATTCTTACAAGATAACATTTCCAAATATAAATCTCAAGTTCACTCATTCTAAATTGATTTTTGAGGTGCATTTAGTTTCTGAAATGTGCAGGTTCATCGAGTTTGTATCGAAAGAGAAATATACTCACTATTGGATCATCCTTTTCTCCCAACATTATATACTTCATTCCAGGTCAGTCTTATGTGCTATGCTGTTGTGCCTTGTCTTAGAGTCATTTAAGATTGGTAAATAAAGAAAATGGTACACATAACTTCATCTGCATATGGTTTCTATATGGTTATCTACTGAACTCCATAATTGATTATTGACCATCATGTTTTGTATTTTCATAATTTATTTTGCATTTTAACTTTTGAATTTAACATATATGCATTACTAATCATTGTTTTTTCAGACACCAACACATGTTTGTCTCATAACAGACTTTTTGTCTCGGAGGTGAATTATTTGCATTACTCGATATGCAACCCATGAAACTTTTAGAGAAGAATCTGCAAGGTAGCTGTTACAAAACGCAATTTTTTGATATAGACTACTCCTTGATGCATTATTTGCTTATTTAACGCGTGCCTATTCTGATGTAAATTTTTGTTGTGCTTTTTGAAAATGCCTTCCAAAATGGATAGGTTCTTTCCTTGTTCAGATACAAATATTAGCCTATGCTGTGAAGTTAATATAGGGCATTCCTAATGGTTTATAATTTATCTTTGTAGCTTGAGTTTATAAGCTTTGATGTTAACAACATATGAACCATTTCCTAATTGATATGAAAATTTGCAAAATAATGGCATTAATGAAAAGAAATCTCGTATCTTCATTAGGATTATACTTTTTGGCAAATTCAAATGCTATAATATGTTTATTCGATTATTTTCCTCCAAACAAATAGTTGATCGAGCAAATAATTTTTCCGACACTTCAAATCTGAAGAACTCTTATGAACTATGCTAAGGAATACCATCACTACCTAGGAATGCAAGCAGGCCCGCTCGGGAGCCTCAAGATAGTACCCCAAAACTGAAGCAAAAGGACAATTTAGTTTTTTTCTTTTCCATAATTTGGATAATAGAGATGTGATAGTCACTTAAACTATTGTATTATTAAATATTTTATCATGATATATTGCCTATATTTTTTTGTTTGTTACATTATTTTGATCAATTTTCCGCAGGTTTTACGCTCATGGAGGTTGTGATTGGTCTTGAGTATCTCCATTTCCTTGGTATTGGTCTTATTTTTATTATTTCACTTAGTTTCTAGACAAGTCTCTTCCTCAAGTGCAGTATGCAAATGTTACTGAGACTAGGAAATTTCACTATTCTTGATGATTTCTCTAAACACGGCTTGTTGGGTTAATAATAGCTAGCCAGGCTGTACAGTGTTTAATTGCTAAACAAATATATAACAAATAAATTATAAATCGATCGAGTAACAATTAATATCGTTTAAGTAAGATCATTTGTGCCATGTGTTCCTATTCTTTAGAAAGGATGCGTTTAAATTCCTGTGGTGACATCAATGGTTGGTGATTATATAGTGTTTCTATTGCAGGAATAATATACCGTGACCTAAAACCAGAAAATATTTTGCTCCAAGAGGATGGCCACATAGTTCTGACTGATTTTGACCTCTCGTTTTGACTTCTTCAAAACCTCATGTAAGTCGAGAGCAAGCTTTAAAACTAAATAAATATTACTATTTTCTTTGTGCATTTATTCCTCATCAGTCTACTGTGTTATTTCACCATATGGTACTAACAGAATGTGCAGCTATACTTCACGCCTTAGTGGTGAGTTTACTATTTTCCACTTGCATGATATTTGCAGTGGAGAACAAATAGTTTTTCATGTGTCAATGACATAGATTTAGACTGCTTATTGGTGCCGTAATCATGTATGTTTGTTTTCCATGAGAGCTTGTTGTGCACTTAATTAAATACAAAGCTACAAGCCAATAACCTTGCTAATGATATACTTCAGGTGATAAAGCATTCTACATCAAGAAGAAGAAGATCTAAGGAGTATCTGCCCCAAGTTTTGTTTCAGATCCTGCCACTCCATCAAATTCTTTTGTTGGAACTGAAGAGTACATAGCTCCAGTATGATGGATGCCCTATCTTTACTTTTTTAACATGGTTTTTTCGTATTTCATCAGTGAGATGACTGATTTCCAAATAATTTGAATGTGATCACCATCACATCCCAAGTTATTACTCCCACGTCCCCACCATACTTAAAATTGTGATAATTTAGCTTGTCAAGGTAAATAGTAATATCTCTGCACACACATACTCTTGTCATTCACAATGAGAGTTGTATGGTGTGGGAACTCCACAAAGTTTCATGTAAAAGATAGTTGCTGAGAGTTTTGAAATGCAGTTTGGTAATTTCATACCACTTCTTAAAAATTTGTACCAAAGAGATTATGCTTAGCACGTTGCAAATATTTTAAGATACCATACATATGATTATATGGTTACTTCCACTCAAATATTTTTATCATTTTGCAATGATTGCCATAATTGTTATACTCCCAACCTCCATAAAAAGTTTCATAATCAAATATTCTACATATAAGAAAACATATCAATTTTATAGAATTTTTTCTCTTCTTCCCCTGATTTGAGCCAAATCGGGGCAGAGGACGGCACCGTCCAACGGTTAAGGCTGAGGCATGAGTTGATGCCAAGGGAGGCACCATTGGCAGCGACTGAGACTGAGAGGTGGTTGCCTTATGTGGGGGTTCCTGAGCGCCTTAGGGGACAGGGTTAACGATATCACATAAGGGGAAGAACAGAAGAGGTGGTGCTTGTTGACGGCTAGTGAGCGACCTGCCAGTTGTTACAATGAGTGTATAACCCTGATGTCATGTTGTGAATATCTAAATTAGCTCTCATATCCTTTCCCAAAAGGGCTGGTATATAAAATAGAGTGTAAAATATGCAGAGAGACCCCTCTACAAGAGAGCAATTACATGTAAGGACATATCCAATACAGTTCGATAGAGATTTTGTCTTATTCATAAAAAACCTACTTTTGTAATTTAAGTGCTGCAAAACCACGGGTTCTTTGGCATGTGGCACATGACCCCAATTATTATGTCTTATATATAGTTATAGGGCAAGCTGGTAATCCAATGTCGTCCCCAAAAAGCACCAGCATGGATGGTTCCAGTGCCACATTACCATGGGTTTTGTGGAACTTTAAGATAAGAGTATTTGGTGTCAATTGCGGCAAGCCAAATACAAATTTTTGACATTGATCGTGAACCAATGGTTTTCTGAATCTTATTTAAACTTTTAGTGCATTGACTAAACCATTAATTCCTATTTCTTCACTTCTTGATCTCTAAATTAATAACTTTTGACATTGATTGTGAACCTATGGTTTTCTGAATCTTATTTAAACTTTTAATGCATTTAACTAAACCCTTGAGTTTTGATTTCTTCACTTCTTGATCTCTAAATTAATTGCCATGCAATCTTTTGATATTTTAGGAGGTCATCACAGGTGCACCACATACAAGTGCCATTGATTGGTGGGCTCTTGGTAAGCAAAAATATGTGGATTATAGAGTTTTGTTATCATTTAAGCTATAGCTAGTGAATACATTCCATAAGTTTACTCATGGATTAAAAACAAATTTTTTGTTGCCTCTGAGTAGGAATAAGAACTATCACCTAAAAGATGTAGGCAGGTGAAACATTGAAGAAGGATCAACTCAGTATCTAAATAATCATGATAACCTATGAAATGTTTGGACTTCCACCAGGAGAATTGGCAAGCTTACCAGTCTGGTGAACTTGACTGTTTATTAGTGCTTCACTGCTCTTTGTTGCGTTTTTAAACATGAATTTCAGAATAACATGAGGGAAGTAACGGACTTTGGTCATTACTCGGTTCTGATGCAAAGATGTTCACTTTAGTTGCCAATATAGAAAAGAAAAATTATATGGCTCCCAAGGAGGTTAACACCCTCTTTAGCTAAAATATCATGTTGCAATATTTCAAAACACAATCACAAAACTCATTTATGTAGTACACCTAAATTAAGTATAGTCGCAATAATTCAGTTTGAAATTCATCCTTTATTGATATAAAAAAACTAGAAGTATCACTTTCAGCACATGATGAACAATGCCAGGTTGACTGCTTGTCTATTTTGTTTCTTGACATCTAGGATGAATTTCAAACTGAATTGTTGTGGATATGCTTAACTTTATGTGTACTACATACATGATTTTTTTTATGATTTTTAAAATATTGGAACATGGTATTTTAGCTAATGAGGGTGCCAGCCCCTCTGGGCACCAAATGTGCACTTATATAAAAATCCCTAAGATGTGGTTCTAATCACCAATCCAAAAGATTATATACAAGAAATCGTAGAAATGAACTAGTATCGAAATAGTTGTGTTATATAGTTAAAATCAATCTCAGATGAAACAACCTTGGATGACAGCCTGTGTGGCACCATAATACAACTTTAGGGCACATAATATATATAAATATATATGCTAACTTCAGTTTAGCTTGATCCTTGTAATTTATATAGTACCACAATACGAATGTGGAAGTAAAGAGATCTATATCAAGTATTCCCAAATGGGAATTCCTTGTTCAAGAGATCTTATATAGCATACCAGTTTGATACTGTCTCTGAGGTTGTCACATCCTTCTTCCCCATGATATAGGAATTCTCTTGTATGAAATGTTGTATGGACGTACACCTTTTCGAGGAAAGAACAGGAAAAGGACATTTCATAATATCCTGCACAAAGATCTTACATTTCCAAGTAGCATTCCGGTAAGAAATTTCATCCTTATTTTTGTTACCTACAATTACATGTAAATCTGGTCAAATTTGCCTGTGTCTGTGCAATTAACATTTGATGGTATAGAAACAATTTTAAAACTATCTAGTGAGATAGTCCCTTGTTTAGTATAACTATTAGGCAGCTCTAGTATCCGTTCTACAATGTTGTTTATTCTGTTCATCTATTAACAAATATTTACTCCAGGTTAGTCTTGCGGCTAAGCAATTAATCCATGGATTGCTTCAGAGAGATCCCTCTTCTCGACTTGGTTCAAGTGCCGGTGCAAACGATATCAAGCAACATCCCTTTTTTAAAGATACATACTGGCCACTCATCCGTTGCATGGTGATCTGGAAATTGAGCCTTTGAAGAGTATCTTGGATAATAATTGTTTGGTACATCACTAATAAAGAAAATAACTTTGCATGTGCAGGAGCCCCCAGAGCTTGATGTTCCACTGAAACTAACTCGGAAGGAACCTGAACTAACAGTGAAGCCTGAGGAGGATACTCATGCTCAGATTGTTGACACATTTTAAGGTGAGCCTCAGCATTTCCCAAAAGAACTTCTTGTGTGATTTAAATCTGCTATTATATATATTACCGTTTTATCGGAAACAAAAGATGACCAAATACTTTATATGATCAAATTCTTTAATTACTTTTGTGCTGATCGAAAGTCACTAAATACTATGTTATATACACACAATGACACAAGATTATAAAAGCAATCAAAAGCACGTGAATAAGTATGTCAGTACACATATCTTGTACAAAAAATTGGTCCGACTAGGGAAAAGAATAATGGCTTTAGATGGCTCCCTGTTTAGACCTATAATTCCCCATTGATACCTTTATCTTTCTTTGTGAGAAAGGGTGCTTTATAGATTTCTCAGGAACATGATTACATTGGTTTCAAGAAACTCTTGAATACACGTTGGTGCTTATTATGCCTAACATAGAGTGCATTACTGCACAATGCCTTATTAGTAGTATAATTTAAAAAGGTTCAATGAAACTATATAAGATGGTAGTAGAATTTTTTCTTGTTTGGCCTACCTAAGAAACTATAAAAGATGGTAAATGTTACTTTTAGTAGAATATATTACTGTTAAAGGTAGCTTAAAGTAAGTCAAGCAGAGTATTATTTTTACCTAGTCTTTCCATGTTACATTTTGCAGGGGCAGGCTGTGTACGAACACCAACCCCGGCGCCCGCGTGGAGAGAACGTTGTTGAGCATGTACATAGTAATAAAAGAGGTTTCATGGGCAGGCAGGATTTTCATCCTGAATTGCACTAGAGGTCGTTGTGTACTTGAGGCATTCTTTTGGTTAGGTTAAGTGAATAATACATCAATAGGAAAAAGTTCTTGTAAATGTACCCTTTTTTTGTGCATATGGCTGAATAAAATGTAGTGATTATTTATATTACATCAAAAAAAAATTTGAATGGAGTGAAATGCCCTGGGTTGCATAAATTATTCTCACGTCCTCACCTAGGCTACTACCATAGGCAAAAGAAGTAGAATGGGTTGGTCCATGAAGTAGGATGAATTGGATTTGGTCACTGTCAAAGACCTCCTTGATTTGTTTGGACATGCCTCCGGTCTTAGAACCAATCTGTCCAAGAGTCCAGTTTCCCCTATTCATTGTAGTGATGATGAGTTGGCACTCACTGCAAATATCCTCTCCTGTTCCATAAAGGCTTTTCCTTGTACGTATCTCGGCCTCCCACTAACAATTGGTAAACCAACTAAAGAGGTGCTGCTACCTCTAGTTGATAAGGTGGCAGATTATCTCTGTGGATGGAAGGCTTCTCTATTGAACAGGGCAAGGCGGCTAGTATTGGTGAAGGTGGTGCTGACTGCTGTCCCTATATATGTTTTAACAGCCATGGACCTCCCGAAATGGGTTATAAAAGCTATTGATAAAAAGTGGAGAGGATTTCTTTGGAAGGGTCATCAACAAGCCAATGGTGGCAATTGCCTGGTAGCGTGGGAAAAAGTGCAGAGATCACTTGAATATGGAGGCCTTGGGATTCATAACCTTGAACTTCTTGCCCGGGCACTTAGGATTCGATGGCTGTGGGCACAAAAGACAAATGCTGAAAGGCCTTGGGCCGGTCTCCTAATCACTGTTCCTCATAAAGCCAGGGCCCTCTTCAATGTTGCAGTTGATGACATAGTCGGAAATGGGGAGGAAATCTTGTTCTAGACAGATAGATGGTTGGATTGGCATACCATGGCTGAAATAGCACCTAACTTGTTCAAAGCTGTTCAGAAGCGAACAGCTAAAAGAAGGACTGTGGCTCAAGCACTGCATAATAGAAGCTGGGTTCAAGATATTAAGGGAGCTCGTACAGTAGAGGTCCTGTTTGAATTTCTCCAAATTTGGGATATGGTGGATGCCTTTATTTTGCAACCAAAGATTCCAGACCAATATAGATGGAAGTTAACGTAGGATGGTTCTTATAGCGGCAAGTCTGCCTATGCGGCCTTCTTTGTGGGCTCCATCAAGTTCAGTCCATGGAGAAGGATTTGGAAAACCTGAGCTCCCCCGCGCTGTAAGTTTTTCATCTGGTTAGTGGTTCATAACCAGGTTTAGATAGCCGATCGCCTAGCAAGGAGGAATCTGCCCCATCTAGGGTCCTGCCCCCTATGTGATCAAGTGGACGAAACAATAAACCATCTCGACAAGTTTGGACCCTGATTTTGCAACAGTTGGGGCTGCTGCAGTTGGCACCACAATCAACTGTGTCTCGTTTCTTGGGGTGGTGGAAGAGATCGATTGCAACTCAACTCCTTGATAATTTTGGTCGCATGGGAGTATGGAAGCATCGCAACTCTTGTGTCTTTGACAACAAGAGGCCAAGCGTTCAGGAAGTCATTAGGGTTGTTAGCTTGGAGGGAGGGCTCTGGTGCTCGGCTGGAGCCTCCAAACTCCATGAGCTTGTTCTCGGGTCGCTGCCTACTGGAGCTTAAAACTCGGAGGCATTTGGTCGCTTCTATAATTTTTTGTGGTGTGTCTGTAACTTAGTGTCCAGGGTGTGGTGTGTGTGAGTTGGGTCTCTTAGACCCATGTAACATTTTTCTACCTTAATGAAATGATGCGTAGTTCTCCTACGCTGTTCGAGAAAAAAAAAGTTGGTCCATCTGTTTTTCTGGGATGAGCTCACCCAAAATCTAGGAAGTGTATTCTCTTTAGAGCAACTCCAAGGACTCCTACTTTTGATTTGAGGGCTGCCCCTCATACCAGAGCTCTCATTTCTTTAGAACCCACTTGTCAATCACTACTACAGCTGGGCTCTTTAGAGGCGGCTAGCTTCTTGCCTTGGTAGAAGTGGCTGGGCCTGCCGCCTCCCCTATTCCGTCTCTACAAATCATCGATTTACAGAGGCGATTCTCCAGCCGCCTCTAAAAATTGGATTTCTAGAGGCGGCTGGAAACATGAGCCACCTCTAGAAATCGATTTATAGAGGCGGTTGCATTTTGAGCCGCATCTACAGATCGTTGTCAAAAAATTACAAATTTGGGCTAAAATAGGGGAAAAAGCTGAAAACTAGAAAAAAAAATCTCGGGAGACCCCACTAGGCACCACTGGCCAACCACACATGATTGCCGTTGCATGTGGCGATTATTTAACTCGTGACCTATGCCATCACATGTTGGTCCTCTAACCACCACAATACAATACTTGCGTCCAAATAGGATATTCGTTCTCCTTATTTTATCTTCCTCTAATTTTCCAATGAGTATTTGAGACCCTAAACAAATTTGAATGAAAAAGTTGTCAACTACAAAATTGCATAGCTTTTTGAGATCTATAACTTTTTTTTGATTGTTTCTCCATCCCAGGTCGTTTAAAAAATCAAATTTCAAATGTGAGAAGTTCAAGCGTAATTTTCCTTGCATAGATGATTTCAAATAAAAAAAGTTGTCAACTTCAAAGTTGCATAACTTTTTGAGATCTAAAGCTTTCATTTTGGTCGTTTCTCCATCCGAGATAGTTTAAAAAAAATTCAAATTTCTAATGTGAGAAATTTAAGCATAATTTTTCATGCATAGATGATTTCAAATAAAAATGCTATCAACTACAAAGTTGCATACTTTTTTGAAATATACAACTTTTTTGGTTGTTTCTCCATCTGAGGCCGTTTGAAAAAAATTCAAATTTCAAATGTGAGAAATTCAAACGTAATTTTTCATGCATAGATGATTTGAAATAAAAAAAATATGTTAGTTAAACTCGTTGAGAGTTACAACTTTTATTTTTGTTGTTTCTCCATCCGAAATCATTTGAAAAAAATTAAATTTATTATGCAGCTCTTATTTTTAAAGGCGGCTAGAAATCGATTTTTAGAGGTGGCTCCCCCCTCCAGACTTCTTTCATGGCCTGGCCAGGCTGGCCCGGGGGGGGGGGTGGAGGACGGCCATCCAAGGCCGAGGAATTGGATAGGCCCCTCCCTAGGTATGTATACAGTATACACTAGCAATACGTCACGCACAGCCATTGACCCAACTCCCAAGAGCGCGTACGGCAAGAGAGAAGAGTTCGTACGTGGCGCCGCCGCTGTGTCTGACCTAGGTCGAACCTAGGGTCTTCGCGACCTTGACAGAAATCACCGCTGTTAAGGGACCTTGGCTCAACTTTGGTAGCCTTACTCGACTCCTCTAGGTGTGGCGTGCTCGGGCTGACAAAGGGGTGGACGCACTCAACTACCCGGCCGTAATGCATCTGCTAGGTCTTGACGGGAGGTCCAGAGTTCTGAGCGCCATGGCAGCAGAGAGCTCCAAAATAGCTTCAAGGAGAGGAGATCTGGAGGTACCAGCAAGCAAAGATTCGATGGTGGCCTCCAGCACGAAGGACCGCCCGTAGCAATGAGTTGTCTCAGTTGGAACTGTCGGGGCTTGGGCAACACCGCAATAGTTAAGGAGCTTCGCGAGCTAGTGAAGAATGTTGCCCCCTATCGTGCTCTGTGTTCTTGAAACCCGAGTCCATTGAGCATGGGTGGAAGGTCTTAAAAGTACTCTAGGGTTTGATAACACGCCTTTGTAGTTAGCAGCTCATGGCGCATGCAGTGTAGGTCTTGGCATGTATTGGACACTAGAGTTGAAATTTTACTGTATTCTCAGTATCGCATTGATTCCATATCTGAGAATGGGGGAGCCATGGCGTTTGACTTGTGTCTATGGTGAGGCGCAGGTCGCGGATCGCCACAAGACATAGGAGATGTTGAAGTTCATTAAGGCGTCTTCTCATCTGCCATGGTTGTGTATTGGGGGTTCCAATGAAGTATTCCTTCAGTCGGTGCATGAAGGAGTGCAGGAGCCAGACTGCTGGATTTCGGGAGATGGTGGATGTCTATGGATTGGTTGACCTAGGGTTTGAAGGCCACATGTGGACTTTTGAGAAGAAGGTTGCCGGTGGCTCGTACCGCCGTGTTCGGCTAGATCATGCGCTAGCGTTTATCGACTGGAGTGCTCAGTTTCTGCTGGCTCATGTTCAGCATCTTACCTCGGCGGCATCAAGTCATGGACCG